ACATACATACATACATACATACATACATACATACATACATACATACACACATACACATGCACATGCACATGCACATGCACATACACATACATACATATACATACATATACATACATACATATACATACAAATACATACATACATATACATACATATACATACAAATACATACAAATACATACATACACATACATACATACATACATACATACATACGGCAGATATACAATCTTTTGACATACACACATATACGGTATAAATACATATCCGCCGACCGGGTGTGGACCGGGGAGGGAAAACTTGCTGGATCCATTGGTTCTTTTTGGGTGTACTGGGAGGAAATTGGACCCCTGGGACATGTCAGACATGTTCCCCTGCCTGATTAGCCAGGAGCGCACCTTGCACAGAACAATGGTGATGACATGTGATGACTGTAAGATGTGGATTTGTGCAACCAAGTGCTAAGTTGAAGCTTGAAATGGGGGCAATGAGATTTACAGGTTGGCTGTGACCTTTTTTTTGGAATCCGGACCTACCCTGTGAATCCCTTTCAGTGAAGTCTTGCATCCACAACTCGTTCTTTTGTAGCAGTGGTTTCATCTTGAGCAGATTCGAAACACTGGCCTGTTGTTTTCACACACGCTCTTGGCTCTTTGTTTTTACGGGGACTTTGCTTCGGCGCTCACGTTTTCCGAAAAAAAAACAGGACGAGTTCAAAGACTTCGAGTTGACCGGTGATGAGGTGGGAGCCCGGCTTTGCCGGTTCCGAGCCTGGAACACGCTGGGAGGGCGGAAGGCGTTTCTTGGTTACGGCAAGAATGACCAGGTCGGACGTAGGTTTTGACCAACCTGTTGACACGGACCATCAGACTAAACTCATGGACCATCAGAAACATGGGATTGCACACGGAGAAAACACATTTGCAAATTGAATCTGAGGATGGCATTGAAATAGAAAAAAAGCACACACACACACAAAAACACTTGATTAGGATTTATTACTAGTGTGTCAGCCGTACTCCACTTCTAGAATCTGTCACGGGCATTCGCCGGCTAGTTTGAAGGTAAGTGGGACAACCTCATTGCTGGCCGTTTTTAAGCCAATTGCGTGTTTAGTTTGTTGATTCTTTGCCTATTGTTGTGGGCCCCTAGTAGTTTGCATGAGCCTAAAGACGTGTTTCGACTGACAGCACGGCCCTTTGACGTCGTCGATTTCGTGGCAGGTGGAAGACATGCAAAAGGAATTGAGAGATATGATTACGGCCTTTCAGGTCTGGCGTCGGCGGTTGTGTTTTTGTCGGGAACTTGGGAGGCGACGTGCTGAGCGAGCTGCGGCCTGGACCGGTGAACCTATGTGAACCTATCTCCTCAAGAGGTCAAACTTGCTGAAATTTGCCCATGTATGAGGGGAGGTGACGCAAAATGACGCAAAGACATTTCAAGACTTCAACCGCCTGTTGGATTCTTTATCGCACAAATTCCTTGAAACACAATTTATATAAAGATTTACTTGGAAGAATGGGAGCCCTGCTGCAAGTTGGCTCAGTCAACATTGTGAGTCTCATGGATTTCAACCTGCAAGTATTTTCCAGTCGTATCAGTGTTTGACTAGCAGTCGGTGCTCAAAGATTTCCATGTTCAATGAGGATGTTGTAGAACCCTGACCATCAAAGCATGGGTGTCGAGAAGGAAGGAAGGAGGGAGGGAAGGAGGGAAGGAGGGAAGGAGGGAAGGAGGGAAGGAGGGAAGGAGGGA